GAGAGTTGATGGTTCCAAACTTCTTCCATTTAAGAATGATGGAGGCCACTGTGTTCTTGGGGACCTTCAATGCTGCAGAATGTTTTTCAGTTTTTTGGTTTGAATAAGTTAGCAAAAATGATTAAATACCTGTTTTCGCTATGTCATTATGCGGTATTTTGTGTAGATTGATGAGGAAATTATTTGAATTAATACATTTCAGAATAAGGCTGTAACGTAACAAAATGTTGAAAAAGGGAAGGGGTCTGAATACTTTCCGAATGCACTGTAACCCTTCACATCATGACATCATAACTCTTCTCGTTATGACATCACAACCCTTCTCATCATGACATCACAACCCTTCTCATCATAATATCACAACCCTTCTCATTATGACATCACAACCCTTCTGTTTATGGCATCAGAAGCTTTCTCTGACTCCAAAATGTAACTGTGATGAACCAGATGGTTCTCTAAAGTTTTACTTCAAGTTTCACTGCTCACAGTTTGAGTCCCAATCCAGGGGCTCATGGGAAAGTGAGTCTTCATGGCATCATCAGATGCTCATCAGATGCTCCACTTAACACACACACACACACACACACACACCCACACACACAGACACACACATACACACAACGCCTGTGGCCCTCATGTGATCTGCAACCCTCAGCCACCCAATACACGGCATTGTGGGTCACAGCTGGCGAACTGAGGTCCTCCTGCGGGGTGTTCTCATGCGTTCACGCAGCCATGCTGGATGTGTGTGTGTCGTGTGTGTGTCTATATGTTATCATGCACTCGTTGAGCCTTGACGGCCGATGATTACACTTGAGAGGATGGAACATAGCCTGCCAGGACTTTGTTCTTCTGCATTATCCAATCATTGAAAGGCAAGCTGTGTAATGGTTGTCCATGCGTTCCAATGATATCCTGACTGACTTGTGAGTCATATCACTCCAATATACATGGTAATGGACAGTGATGTGGGCAATGTAACACCAAGGAGTGAGCTAGGTAAGCTGATCCTAGATCTGTGCCTAAGGGCAACTTAAACCCAGAACGCTACTGCAGTATATACTGTAAATGTGCCAGTGTCATCTAGTGGTTTAGTGGATATACTACAAGCTCCTTTCCATGCAGCAAAGCTGCTATTGCTTCATTCATGACGATCGCCAAAGAGGATGTGAGTTATCCATTCCATGCTTGAATGTATTGACCCAGTTTGTCATAGGGTCACTGTGCAGTCAGTCAGGATTCCAGGGGCTAGCAGAGCAGTGTCAATAGAGTGACTATAACAGAATGACCAAAGCACAGGTAAACCAGTGTACATAGGAGTTGAGGTATCCATAGAAATAAAAACAATACAGCGAGATAGACCATTTCCATGGCTTTTCCAATTCCCAGCTTGTCTATTCATACCCCATAAAAAGGTCCTACATTTCTCAACTCAAACTACAGCTAATCTAATCAAAGAGAACTAACACAGTGAGTATGTCATGTTGGGAATGTTTGTTTGTTGTGGTGTTGTTACCGTGGACATCATTGATCTGTTTATCAGAGAGTTAGTTTGACCATGACTCTCCACTTCAGCACCATACTATCTATAGGAATTAGGAATTTAATTAGAGAAACACATCTTAGTCGCCAGAGGTTAGGTGCAGGGGATTTTTAATAGCCTGATACCAGATATGTTTGTGATGTATTGGCAACGCCTATGGTCATTGTTTGGTGTGACTACATACAAGTGGCAAGACAGCGCGACCAGTTCTGGTACAAGGCTAAATGTTTCCATACCTACAGACCGTTAACAGTTACAACTAGGAATCAGAGATCATAGGTGCAGGGGGTTTCCATACATTCAGATAGAGATTACAGGAATCATAATCTGATCATGGATGGAGAGAAGGATTAGGGTTGATAACAGGGACGAATATCAAATCCTTTGACATTGTTTATGCTTCAGTTATCAATTTCCTTCAGCTTTACTGTTCTCTGGGAAGGTTAGGCTACACTTTACTCTAACGATATGTCATAACGGCTTCGTAGCACTATCATAACACTGTCATAACGATGACATACCTTTTACTTTGAGAGCTAGATCAACAGAGTTGATTATGTTCATCACCATTACCAGCTGTTAGACTGGCCCCTCTTCTGTTGAGATACAGGGTACGTCCCAAATGGCACCCTATTCCCTATGGGTCCTGGTCAAAAGTAGTGCACTATAAAGGGAATTTGGATGCAGCCACAGACTCAATGCAGTGAGACAAACTTTTCACCAGCACAGGGAACCAACCAGCGGCCTGACTCCACTCTAAAGCTCCTCTCAGGTTTCCAACACAGTGGAGGTATCTGTCTGTTGTAATGCCATTACTGTCCCTGGCACAGAGACCATGTCAGGGCATGTCAGGGAGTTAGTGTCTGTGAGACATAGTCTCATGACTGGCTGCTGAGCAATGAAGTCAACCATGTTAACCACAGCAGACTCAGAGCCCATCAGTGTGTGTTTGTGAGGTTAGGATTAGAGTTGGGTAGGAGACACCTTGGACTTGTCTTGGAAATGAGAGTTAGGTTCCCCCGATTACCACTTCTCACTTCTAACACCCACACACTCAGGCATGCACTTGCCAGCACACACTGACACACACACACACACATACATACATACATACGCATGTACACATTACAGAACGATACATGGGCAAAATGTATTGGTTTCTAAGGCAACGTTTAAACCTTGTGTGGTGTTGTTTGCACTCTCCCTCTCTAAATGTGTTCTGGTGTCTCTGTTGATTGTTTCATTCCAGCCACCCCATAATTCGTTCAATTATGTCAATTTCCATTTCAATTTATTCATCAACCAACAGTTCAACAAAAGTACATCAGTCCGCTGCACTACAACATTATTTAGCAAAAGCACATTTCCAAAACGTAGTCACCGGTCTTGCCTTATATCCTACATTGATGGATTTTCATGAGACCCAAGCATTTTTGCTAATCTGTTTTTGCAGCACTTAGAAAAGTACCTCTAGCTCTGGCTCAGAATGTTTGTTTCTCAATAAATAAATAAATGGACATAATTATAACATCTTAGAAAAGACAGGACACACAACAACTGCCACGAAGAGATACGTCTGGGTCTATGGAAATTAACTATGTAGTGTTTGACATGAGTTTAGGACCTGTTGCATTTTTACAACCGGGGGTCTCACAGGGTTATGACAGCCTACTTGATAATAAAGAAATGTATCGATATACTCTTGGTATTGAGTACCATAGTTTGATAAGGGGAATGTTGTCACAGGGAATATTTTCCCCTGGGCGTGGTTCTCCCAGAAGAGTTGGGAATGAAGGAGTGGCCAAATGAAAAAGGGAAGGTATAAAGGAGTTTCTAAATGTGTGTGTAGATTCCTGCTATAGCTGTCTAGCTGTCACCTCAACAACACAGCAACAACTTGGTTCTACAGTGTTACACTTGAGAAGCGCAGCGAATAACAGGTAACATAAGATTTGACTAATTTATGTATTTAAAAAAAAATCCAGGTTAGTCCCTTTGAGATTGAGATCCAGAAAATCTGTATTGCCCCATTGGTGAGTTAGACATCTGACCAGGGAGCTCTTACCTTATTTTATTGATTTAGTATTAAGTGTGACGCAATTTTAAATAACGTTTATTTGATTTGATTTACTTATTCAAACTCAAGCTGTGTGAAATCCTATTTGATGAGACATAGAATATTCAAATGAAGTGATGGCTGACATCTGTGAAGGGCTTGTCCCCCCCAAAAGTTGGTGATAACGTTTATATTTCATTTGACAAAGAAATCTACAGAGCCAAAGACTTAGCTACTGAGAAAAGGTAATCAACTTATTTGGGCATGACTGCAATTATGGTTTGGAGGCCTATTATAGAATGGTAGCCTATCTTATACTACTCATCCATATCATAATTGCAGTCATGTTATAGTCTATAAGACAAAGACAATGCACAGCAAATACAAGACTAGTCCGAGGGCAGGTAATCAGGTAATGATGTAACTGGTGAGTAGCTATCTGTGGAATCTGCTGTGCTAAGAGGGTAGGACAACACCAGGCTTGTGTGACTGTTGCAGAATGATTACAGACAACATTTCCACTGTTTCATACACATTCCTTACTGAGGACTTTTATGGTGCATCATGTGCCAAATGATGATTTGCTCCAAGTGTTACAAAGTACTTCATACTCAGTGTATGAGTAGTGTGGGACTTGGTGTTCAATATACCAGAGACATTGAGTTTATGAGAGTATTTGAATTTACTCAGGAATGTTTCCAAAACTCCTGCACATTTTTGCTGTCAGTTGGTACTTTAGAGACTGGTGACTGGGGCCATCTAGTGGTCATATATAGAATAGCTGTCCCTCTATCTAATGTCAATTATTGATCAGGTTTGAAACTGTGGGAAATGTGTAAGATCTCAGGTGTGAGTTTTGTCATGTCAATACCTTATTGGAACTTAATGACTGGTGATCCGACAGTGGTGAGTTCCTAATGATTATGTTCAATTATAGCCTTGACTGATGCTTCCATTACTGATGAAGATGAAAAATGGTAGTGATGTTGTTCTCTCTGTACTTACAGATACTATGGAAGTAAGTACCTCACCTCCTCCAACCTCTACACTGACAACTAACGACTGAGAACACAGCTCTCACTGTCTCAGTATTCTTGAAGTATTTAACCGTTATTATTAAAGTATTCTGGAATATTTCTTGAATTCTTGAATGTCATGTCTAAATAGGCCTCTATGTGTGCGCACTATATGTGTGCATGAGTGTGTGTGTGTGCCTGTGTGTGTGCATGCATGAGGATTTCAGCGTGCATGTGTGCATGTCTGCATGTCTGCATGTGTGTGTGTCTCTGACTGTGTATGTGTGTGTACCCTTCTTGTCCCCACAGCTCTCTGATGCTCTGTGTGGTTGTCCGTCCTCTGGTTCTACCCCCCAGGGAAGCAACAGCATCGGGCCCAGTCAGAACCAACCAGGGGGTCCTGCCTGGCCGACACAGCCCGGCCAACAGCCCACCCATCCCCCATCCTGCTGGCCAGGGCAACCCAACACCCCCTGCTGGCCTGGGCCACAACCATCCCAACCAGACCCAGCCTCAGCCCAAAACTGGCCTGGTCCCCAACCACAACCACCCCAACCAGCCCCATCCCATCCCTGCCAGTCATGCTGGCCTGGACCTCCCCAATTCCAGCCCCAGCCTTCCCAGCCCCAGCCCCAGCCTCAACCTGCACTCCAGCCTTCTCAACCTCCAGCCCCAGCCCCTGCCCCCCAAGTCCCCAGCCAGCCTAGTGCCCCAAGGTGGCCGGTTACCCAAGGCCTTAACCCAGGCATTAACCCAGGGTCTGGATGGCCTTTCAGCCCTGGTAAGTCTGGTTGGCCTGGTCAGAACCCAGGCCTTAACCCAGGCGGATCTGGATGGCCATTCAGCCCTGGTCAGGATCCAGGTAGCCAGTCTGGTTGGCCTGGTCAGAACCCAGGTGGCTTCACACCTGCTCCACAGTGGACTCCAACACCAGCTGGACATCTGGTGAGAGACAAGGAGTAGGGTCTAGAGAAGCTGTAGTGTAGCTTTAGCGGAGGGACGGAGAGAGAGAGGGAGGGAGGGAGGGAATTGGCAAAAACATTGTGTTGGTGTGAAAACAGAGCCATATCCTAAATGTCAGTGTGTTGTGTTGGTGTATAGAATGTGCCCCACAACCTGAACCTACAAAGAGGCATCTACGACAAGATGATGATGACCATCATGGGCCAGGTCAAACCAAATGCTAAGCAGTGAGTTCACACTTTACAATCATCTATAATGGTTCCTGTTATTTACTGTGATTGTTAATAAGATCCCTGACTTACCCCTTAGAGGTACACATTACCAGTATGTTATTTGAACACGACTGATGGAATAAGTCAATCTGTAAAGTTGACGGTTCTGAACATGTCAGCTGCCTTCAGTACATCACAGTCCTGGAAGAGTGGGCCTATCCACCTGATGACTGTGGCTTGTTATCACTATCTAATGTCTTGGCTTGTGCTTTTATCAATCTGATCAATAAAACTGTTTTAATTTATCGTATCCCCTCCAGGTTCACTGTCAACTTCCTGCGAGGTAATGACATCGCCTTCCACCTCAACCCTCGATTCAGCGACGGGGGCAAGCAGGCAGTGGTGAGGAACACCAAGGTGGGAGAGTGCTGGGGCAAGGAGGAGAGGCACACACGAGGAAGCTTCCCCTTCATGGCAGGACAGTCCTTCGAGGTCAGTGGGAACTTCCATTGAGGCAGTGCTACTGTAGCCTGTACTGTACTGACTAACAAATCAACTGAGTTCCCCTTTCGATAATGTTTGCGGCTAAATTATACTTTCTTTAATTCCTCTCGCCCTTTCTCCACCTGTGTTTCAGATGAAGATTCTGATTACGTTTGAGGAGTTTAAGGTGGCTGTAAACGGAGCTCAGCTGTTTGAGTTTAAACACCGCGTCAGAGAACTCAACCAGATCGATCGCGTCAACATCCTCCATGATGTCATCCTCACCTACGTCAACGTAGACACAATACCATAGCACCCACACCCATGACATCACTATTCATTATACAACACCCAGCTAATGCTAAATACATACAATGAATTATTTGCACCTGTTTCATGAAGATGATGATGATGATAAGGATGATGATGATGATGATGATGAAGATGATGAGGATGAGGATGAGGATGAGGATGAGGATGAGGATGATGATGATGATGATGATGAGCTGTACTCATTCTGTGGTGAACAAACAGTACTACGTTAATGCCCACTTACTCAGTCCATGTGCAAATATATTACTGCACAAAATTGTAAATGGCTCTATCAGTGCCAAATCATGCATAATATAAGGAAAGAGCTAAGCAATGGGGACTGTCTATTTTTAAATGTTTTTTTTAAACTCATCATCTCCAATATTGTGAGCATCTATTAGAGAGCTTTGCTTTGGTGTAGGTTGAGGCCTGTCCATTCATATCGGTTGTGTTCTTCCACTGAATTCCCCTTTCCTGATTTCTATTGGGGATTCTTTCTCTGCTTGCCAATGCAAAGTCTACAAACCTACAGTGTAACATCAGACCGACCTACGTATTGAACAGGCCTACATGGAATTGGATTGTGATGAACAATATTTGATTTGATGTGTATGAAAATGATTGGAGAAATATGCATAAAAGGTGAGTAATTGCCCATAATTTGTCACCTTTTGATAGTTGCTTTTCCAATTTTGATAGTTTAGTGACAGCAAAGACATTAATCGATTGATTAAATAGGATTTTTTTCAAGACAGACAAACTTTCTGTTTGTCAGCATGACTCAAGAGGAATGTATGTATGGTGGTGTTCATCTTTATGCAGCCAGTTATGTTCTTTTGATTTATTTGATGTTTTGAGAAGGCAACTACATTTTGAAAATGCATTACTGTTTTGAAAAAGGTATTGTGTACACTGAATATTTTACCTATTAAATACAGCTGGCAATATATCGTTTTTCTCAATTTTCAAAACAATATAATGTAGATGAAAATATGTGGCCATACATAAAAATGACATTTAATTGATAAGCAATTTCAGTCACTTATTTTGTACACATTTTGTACTTCAGTGACTTTTTCACTTTGAACGTCTCTTCTCTGTGTCATATTTGGAATTATTTTCAATATTACTGGATGTTGCTTTTGCAGAGAGGCCCAATCATACTTTAGGAGGGCTTTGACAGCCAAGTCTAGTATTGCAGACAGTATACAATAGGCATAACTACCTGCTTGGTTCTGTGTACTTTTGATTGACTTGATTTGATTTAATTGATGCTGAATTATAAACGTTTAAAAACAACATTACAATATACAGCATGGAGCATGTTAGCAATTCCAAACCGTATCAAATTTAGTTTTTTACACCTCCCTGCTTTAGCATTTGATCCTAATTACGAGAAAAAGAATAGCTCACTTCTATAAAATGTATGATTACCATCTCATACCATTTACTATTTTTCATAGAAAAGGATGGTCTGTTTAAGCAATAAGGCCTGAGGTGGTGTGGTATATGGCCAATGTACCACGGCTAAGGGCTGTTCTTAGCACAATGTAATGCGGAGTGCCTGGATACAGCCCTTAGCCGTAGTATATTGGCCATATACCACAAACCCCCGAGGTGTTTTACTGCTATTATAAACTGGTTACCAAAGTAATTAGAGCAGTAAAAGCTGAGATTTGGAATTGTTTTAAGATGATCATACTATGGATTATGTAGCTACAGTGGGGGGAAAAAGTATTTAGTCAGCCACCAATTGTGCAAGTTCTCCCACTTAAAAAGATGAGAGAGGCCTGTCATTTTCATCATAGGTACACGTCAACTATGACAGACAAATTGAGGGAAAAAAAACGCAAGATCTCACCCCGTGGGGTCAAAATGATCACAAGAACGGTGAGCAAAAATCGCAGAACCACACGGGGGGACCTAGTGAATAACCTGCAGAGAGCTGGGACCAAAGTAACAAAGCCTACCATCAGTAACACACTACGCCGCCAGGGACTCAAATCCTGCAGTGCCAGACGTGTCCCCCTGCTTAAGCCAGTACATGTCCAGGCCCGTCTGAAGTTTGCTAGAGTGCATTTGGATGATCCAGAAAAGGATTGGGAGAATGTCATATGGTCAGATGAAACCAAAATATAACTTTTTGGTAAAAACTCAACTCGTCGTGTTTGGAGGACAAAGAATGCTGAGTTGCATCCAAAGAACACCATACCTACTGTGAAGCATGGGGGTGGAAACATCATGCTTTGGGGCTGTTTTTCTGCAAAGGGACCAGGACGACTGATCCTTGTAAAGGAAATAATTAATGGGGCCATGTATCGTGAGATTTTGAGTGAAAACCTCCTTCCATCAGCAAGGGCATTGAAGATGAAACATGGCTGGGTCTTTCAGCATGACAATGATCCCAAACACACCGCCCGGGCAACGAAGGAGTGGCTTCGTAGAAGCATTTCAAGGTCCTGGAGTGGCCTAGCCATTCTCCAGATCTCAACCCCATAGAAAATCTTTGGAGGGAGTTGAAAGTCCGTGTTGCCCAGCGACAGCCCCAAAACATCACTGCTCTAGAGGAGATCTGCATGGAGGAATGGGCCAAAATACCAGCAACAGTGTGTGAAAACCTTGTGAAGACTTACAGAAAACGTTTGACCTGTGTCATTGCCAACAAAGAGTATATAACAAAGTATTGAGAAACTTTTGTTATTGACCAAATACTTATTTTCCACCATAATTTGCAAATAAATTCATAACAAAATCCTACAATGTGATTTTCTGGATTTTTTTCTTCTCATTTTGTCTGTCATAGTTGATGTGTACCTATGATGAAAATGACAGGCCTCTCTCATCTTTTTAAGTGGGAGAACTTGCACAATTGGTGGCTGACTAAATACTTTTTTTCCCCACTGTATTTGATTTGGAATTTTAGGACCCTTTTAGGTGTCAAATATTTGTATTTATTTTATATTTATTTAAAATGATTTGATAAAATATTGACTTTGGCCTTTACTACTAAAGCCCATAGAAACACTTTGAATAACACATTCATAAATGACAAAAGAGACAGTCAAATTAATCATAAGAAACAAGGTTTTGAAATGTCTGTCCTAAATGTAGGAGATCTTTTTTTTTAACTCAGGAAATATTTTGTTTGTTTTTTTACACACATTTAACTCATTTTTTTGGGTAGGCACAAAACTACCTACATACTTCCATTAGTTTTTAAAAACCAGTACAGGTTACCTTCAGATGAGTCCTGTGAAACTTGTGGGGGATGTAGAGCAAAATGGCGAACACCATCTGTTAGTGAGAATCTCCCCTTTCCACAGGGGGTCCCATTAGTTTGCAGCACAAATTATTCGGACGCTATCAAACAGAAGTTGGTACATCAACGGTACTGACTTCAGACAAGTCTCTTGACACTTATGGGGGTCATAGAGCAAAATGTAGAACACCATCGTGTTCGTGAGTGTCTCCCCTTTCCATAGAGTGGTCATAATAATTCGGATTCTACAGACGTTTTCATTTGAATACCTATTTTCGGGATGTCTCATGGTCTGACAAATACCGCTCTAGTTCTACTACCTTTCACCGCAGATGTGGAAGTGCGACACTGGCGGATGCGATGGATTGAGATGCATCCAATGCAAAAAAAACGGATATCTCTAGCTTAAACTGATGGATTTTCACAGGGAATTTTTTGTTATGTAACTTAGATTGACGCACCGGTGCGTCAATCGACTCTAGGGCCCAATCCCAAATCGACCCCTAGATCATATGCCCTATGTACTTGTGGAGGTCTGAGAGGATTTGACTGGTTTTACCATATTGGTAATACCAATCAAATAGTCACAGATGTCCCCAAGCGCATAGGGCATAGGGTCTAGTGGTAGGTTCGGGTTTGTGCCGTCATTGTATTTTACTGAAGGTCTCCTTATGAGGGGATTCAGCGCCCTCCAAGGGTAGTCTTAAGAATATAACCAGGTTGGTTAACTTTCAACACTGTAAATAAGTATAACGTGTGCATGTAGGGATTTTTTGTTTTGTTGTTGTTACCGCGGACACCGTTAATTTAGCTGAGAGCTAGTTTGACCATGACTCTCCACCTCACCAGCACCATATGATCTACAGGAATTAGGGATAAAATTGGATTAGAGAAACAAATATTAGCATTACAGAGTAGGGCTGTGGCGGTCACAAAATGTTGTCAGCCCGTGATTGTCAAGCAAATAACTGTCTGTCTCACTGTAATTTACCATTGATTAACATAAACACATTTAGCATCTCCTGGCTTCCACACATAGCCTACAAGCCACTGATGCAGACCTTTGGAAAATCTACATTTAAAAAAGTCTAATAAATCCATGTAATATAGCCTACACCTTCACAACAAATCCATTATTTATTTTAAACAGGTCTAAAGAAGTATGGTATGAAGAAAATGTAGTCTATTTCAGAAGAACAGAATAGCATACTCTGAGTTGTCCTTATGTTAGGTCCTGATCTGGCTATGCCAAATGGCTGTGGGCTACACTAGTTCATTTGGCAGACAAGATTTGCTTATAATTCCGTGGCATTATTTTATATTATTTTATAGTATGAAGAATACAATTGAACAAAGCTGAATAAAATATAAATATTTTCTCCAAACAATTTGAGGGAGTGCGCACATTAAGCTATTCTGTGTTGAGCAGTTAACAAAGAAATAGGTACTCCTATATGCTTAATTTAGAGTTATTAATGTAACTTTAGTTGTTCTACAAACATTGGGCTATATGTTTTGATTTTTAATACATTTTAAGGCTGCATGATGGGACTCTTATAATGATTTTAAAAAAGTCGCTTGAAAGGCATGACCTGCTTAGTTTTTTTGCCTAGGCTGTACACACTTAATTAGCCTTTCATTCACAATTTGACAAGCACTTGATAATGCCTCAAATTTCACGGCAGCATCCCCTTTGAGGCCGTAATGCACCCTAAATAATCCATGGCTTTAGCGGCCAG